TCTTCACAAATTACTATGACAATATATCCTCCATGACGTACGCCAAGTCCCACTATAAGCGGGAAAGTCGCATCGCATGGGAGAAACGGTACACATCTGCTATATATATTGGCGCTTACACTAGAAAACTCCTCCCAAAACTTGAATAATATACAAAACCTTTTTTCAGTAATAGCAATACTCGTTCCATCTCACTCAGATACTCACTGACATGGATATAATAAAAAACCTCAGGCGTTTTCACATCACGGACAATGCCAATTGCCCGTGTGACGGCACCAGTGAGCAAACGTTTTCTTCACTTACTCAAAAGCTGCCCCCTATTCTGCAGGGCTAGGCTGCTATATGAACAAACATGCCAATTATATGGTGTAGACTCCCCTTATATTTAACTGCTATTCTACAGAAACCGGAAACTCTGAACTCATTCGACCAATTGGCAAAGAAAATTGTCTTAGTCTCAAACGATCATTTTTGTTGTAAATGGTGTAATATGTTCTCGTTTAATTACATTACATATAGTGATCATCATAATTAAATATAATATATATATATATATATATATATATATATATATATATATATATATGTATGTGTGTGTATGTGTATGTATATGTGTATATATGTGTATGTGTATATATGTATGTATATGTATATATATGTATGTGTGTCTATATATATGTGTGTGTATGTATATAATAATTAAAGGGAAAAAAAAAAAAAATTGAACACTTACCTTCACTAATCACCCACACGTTGCGTAGACAGCCGCGCACTCCATAATGTCATCATAACCATTAAATAAAAATACCATTAATAACAAGTCACATTCATACATATCACCTTCTCGCTGCTATATAAAAAATAATAAAGGGCTCAGTAAGTACGCGTGCAAAATTAAATAGCTAGACTAGAGACTTATGCTGTATCAAATCGCAGCTTAAGTCAACTAAAACTCTAAAGCTTAATACTCATCTCCCAATCGCGAACCAAATAATATTGAAAAAAAAAAAAAAAAAAAAAAAATGGACATATCGTTACCTCTATGGCAAATTTACGAATCTGCAGTTTTTTTCAAATTTGACATTTCTTTAAAAAAGTACATTTTGCGTCATACTACTTACTGTGGCTTATTTTCAAATTTCTATCTCTAATGGTTAAAGAAATCGAGTAGCTCAAATCTCCATATTTTTGTGATATACCCAAAGTAAACTTACTTTAATTTGAAAATTTCAATAATTATTTTATCAATTTTTCAATCCTAATTTAATTATTTTACATTAATGATTGCTATAACGTTGTTATTTAAACTAAAGTTATCTCCAAAACACGTGATTTATGATACCTAATATGATATTTACGAAAGTGGCACTTTCCTTAGTTTGCCAGATATTAAAATAAATTATTTTCTTTGGCAACTTACGAAACTGTCACTTTCGTAGATTTGCTGTTTTATAACTCAATACCTAGGAACTCTCATGTATGAAGGTACAAAGTAACGAATATGCATTTATTTCGTATACCTGTAATATAATAATATTTAATTAAGCGCATTCAATAAAAACACGTTTTTAAAACTTAAATGTTAGCATGATCTTCTAAAACGTTAGTAGTCTTCTATCAAAAGTTATTTGCATTCTAATGTTTCAAAACGTTCCCCTGTAAAATGTATCTTTTTCAGTTTCGTAAGTTTACCATAAAGGTGACGATATCACAATTGATTTTAAAGCGACTAAAATGTTTTTATTCAAATCACAAAACGCTGCACCTAACCCACCCGTAGACTTTGCTCCATCAGTGAATATTTTATGCCAATCATTGTATTTCACATTAATTTCTTTGACGACTTCATGTTTTTGCAAATTAGTATCATAGTAAAACTTAGCATTTATGATGTATTCTAGCTCTGTTCTAATTATATTATTAATCTGAATACCTGTCACCCAAATATCTAGTGAAAACATTTTAGGAGGATGACAATGAACATGAATTGGTTTGACTACGTTTAAAAATTTATATTTGAAAATTTATGAAAATGTTGAAAATTTATATTAATAAAGGTTCCTTTTAAATGTCCAATTTCTTATTCGGCAGAGTAAATTCAATTCGCCTTGAAATTTCGTAGACATGTTGTTTGATACAGAAAGAGCTTTGAGACAATTTTAAAAGCAAGATGGCGGCTCCTTATTTTAAGTGGAGGAACACAAATTTCGATTTCCATAGTATGAATAAGCGTAGATTTAATAAACCCACTAATATACCTTAATCTATGATTTTGAATTTTGTTCAATTTCGCAACATTTCCATTCGTGTTTCAACCGTGAAGCAGTTGTGTTTGCATGGCTGTGTTTCAGTTTGAAGGGTGAGATATGGCGTGAATTTACTGGGTACAGAGGAATAACACCTGAGTCCTCAGGAATGGCAACGCATAGGGGGTATCATGGGCGAGACACTATACTCTGTTATGTCCATGATACTGCTCATGTCTATAGGCGATGGTTACCACTTTCCATCAGGTGGGCCGTCAGTTTGTATGCCATTCTAAGTAGTATAAAAAAAAATCTTTTAGCACTACTGTCATACAAGTAACAACCATAATCCGTCGGGAGGAAGGGGTTAACGGAGACTGAGAAACCCATTGCTAACAATATACCCAACCAGGTCGACCTCCTAGCGGTTCCCCTTGGAAACTATCATGACTAATTCCTGATGAATTCATCACGATGGGCTAACTGGCCTGTTTTCATTTTCATCTATCACCCTTCACTGGTGCTCCGCCAGCGTATCCCGTTAGCGCAGGCGGGGTTACCATACCATTTTCACCCATAAAAAAAAACCATAATCCATCGTATTTCTTATTTAAATATACAATCTACGCAAATGAAATGGATGAATACCCCAAATAGTTTCTGTTAAAACTCTCAACATAATAATAATTATTAATTATAAAATTAATTATAAATTAATTATTACGAGTTACAATGACAGTATTTAAAATAACAGAACTTTCATCGTGCCTCCATTCAAACAGTTTATAATTACTCCTCTCCATCCAATGGTTGTCTGGAAGAGATCGCTTTTAGCGATAAGGTCGCCCGTTGTTTTCTCACTGTGATTATTTCTTGTAATTGTTTGTATCTATTTATAATAAGTATTACTGCTGTAACCTTTTAGAGGAAACAATAAAGCGTATCTATCTATTTGTCTATCTATCTATCACCCCTTTTTAGGTTTTAAAATGTAGTTATATATTAACTACATGTAAGTACATAACGTGTATATTTAACTACATCTAAAGTCTAAAGTTTAGCTTTTTTTTATACGACTTAGAAAGGCAAACAAGCTGACGGCCCACCTGATGGAAAGTGGTAACTGTCGCCTATAGACATGAGCAGTACCATGGACATAACAGAGTATACTGATTCGACCATGATACCCCTCATGCGTTGCTATTCCTGAGGACTCAGGTGTTATTCCTCTGTACCCCTTCAAACCGAAACACAGCCATGCAAACACAACTGCTTCTTGGTTGAAACACGAATGGGCCAGAGGTACCCAAGCAAACGACTTTTGTACAAAGTCTCCCTCTGGTAAACTTAATCACAACTCGGATATTTCATTAAAATACAGCAAAAGGCAGCGGTCAAGTGAGAAAGGAAAGAGGGTCGACTCGCGGGAGGGCAAAAATAATCTAATTTCCATGTATAATGAAATCGACGTAGCTTTGGGAACTTGTTGATTTGACATGCCCATGAATGAAGCCAGATTGGGGCGGGTATCGATTAGCCCGCCGTTGCCTGGCAACGCGAGAGGCGTCATGACAACGTGTGCACTCGCCTTTATAGATAGATAGACGAATTTAATTACAGTGCTTAATGTTTTATTTGTGTATTCGAATTTAGATTAATGAGCTGATATTGTGATATGTAACGATTCAATTTTATACATACGCATTGTCAAGTTATTAATCAATATATATATAATAAAATAGTAACTAGTAGCTGTCTGTACATGGAAGATATATAAGAAAAACTGTTATAGGGGCTTTATGAAGGTAATAGAATCCGAAACAATGATTCTTAGAATTATTGTCTGTTTGTACGTTTATGCACGCTAATCTCAGAAACGGCTTAGCCGATTTGAATGCGGTTTTCACTAATACGTTACAGTTTGCTCCACTTACATTTATCTAAGTTGTGTTTGCATGGCTATGTTTGGGTTTGAAGGGTGGGATATGGCGTGAATTTACAGGGTATAGAGGAATAACACCTGAGTCCTCAGGAATGGCAACTATGCAAATGTATCTCATTTGAATGTATATATTGAATGTATATATATATACCTATACAATGACACCATTTGTATGTATATCCTTTGATAATAAAGCCAGTGTGTCACAATTTTTATCTATATATACATACATATATACACATACAAAATGCGTTTCTTACTATATTGGATCAATGGTGTCCTTTACATTTTTAATGTGGCTATCATCCAACGATCGGTCGAATAACGTAAGTGTGCACGAGAAAGGGATTGCAAGTCACGTTCTCTGCAATAAACAACGTTGGATTGTTATATACGTATGTGTACGAAGTAAAGTTAAAATAAATTGCTGCTTCTTTTATTTTGTGTCGAGTGATGTGTGTGTGTGTGTGTGTGTAAAAATAAAAAGGGTTAACTTGTGTTTGTACAGCAAGTCGTCCAGTCCTGTTAAAAAAAACATACCAACAATTCAACCACCTAAATATTATATTGAATTAGTTTAATTAGAATATATAGATTATTCGTTAATTTGCATTCGTGTATATATATATATATATATATATATATATATATACATATATATACATTCATATATATATATATGTATATGTATATATGCCTATACAATGACACCATTTGTGTGTATATTCTATTTTGATACTAAAGCCAGTGAGTTACAATTTTTATCTATATATACATATATACAGACAGATACAAAATGCGTCTCTTACTATATTGGATCAATGGTGTCCTTTACATTTTTAATGTGGCTAGCTTCCAAGGATCGGTCGGGGACGTACTCCTCGCACGAGAAAGGGCACATGCAAGTCACGTTCTCTGCAATAAACAACGTTGGATTGTTATATATGTATGTGTACGAAGTAAAGTTAAAATAAATTGCTGCTTCTTTTATTTTGTGTCGAGTGATGTGTGTGTGTGTGTGTGTGTGTGTGTGTAGATAAATAATTTAATACTTGTGTTTGTTAAAAAAAGTCTCAGTATTTTTGTTTTTTTACTGTAAATTTGCTTATATTATATGCTCGCGAAATAATGATAAAAAATCAGAGACGTTAATACAGATTTGTAAGTTAAAGATGACAATGGGTGATAATGAATACTACAACATATTATACCAGAGGGAGAGTTTGTACAAAAGTCGATTGCTTGGGTACCTCTGTCCCATTCGTGTTTCTATCGTGAAGCAGTTGTGTTTGCATGGCTATGTTTTGGTTTGACAGGGTGGGATATTGCGTAAATTTACTGGTCATAACAATTCCAGGAATTCAACACCTGAGTCCTATTACATGAATTACAGCATTTTAATCAAAATTAATATTTTAGATACATAATTTAATACTTAGATTTTGTTAAAAAAAACTCACGTTTACTTGTAATGTGTGTGTTAAATAGTAACCCTTATTAGTCGTACTATTTAACACACACATAAATTATTACAGTAAATAGAAAATAATTCAATATTAGTAAATTTTATCGATTGTAAAATTGCCAAAAATTGCTTTATATAAAAAACATAGCAAACACAAAAAAAACTGTAGAATGGAGCATTTTCTATTTTTTTATTATTATTAATATTATTTGTCGATATGTCAGATCTATTCAGCCACTCGGTCCTATTTAATTGGATGATATTCAGCAAATGCGATCCCTGTCCAACTTCGGTAGAACTTTTAAATGTGCTTTCAATTTCGAACTCTCAGAAAAGTTGATATCTCCAAAATTTATAAGGAATTATTTTTCAAAACTCTTTGAGGAAAACTTTCTAAAGTATTCTGAAGATCCAAATTTAAAAATGTTCACTGAAATTAGATAGAAATAGCACTTGTGAAAAATCATCCATCGTTTCATTACTGACCACATTTATAAAATGTTTAAGAGAAAAAGCGGATTTCATGGTATAATAGCAGGATGGGCCAACCGGTTGATCGCGACTATAAGTCCAGTCGATCGTGGCAAGTTAAACAATATAATATTTTACTAATCTAGAGGAAGATGCTCGGACGCAATGCTCACACTAATATAAATAAATAATTACTAAGAATAATTTCAGTTTTATGTTTTCCCTCTTAATAAAATAAAAAATACTAGAATACTACATAATTGTGTGAACTATATTGTTTCATTTGTGATTTCAAGTAGTATGTAATTGGCAGATCGCACAGGACTTCGTCAGTAAACAGTAGATCTTGGGTCTAGTCAGGTCGACCACCCTTGATATATAGCATTCTCTCCCAGTGAACTATAATTCTATCGTAGTTAACTACAATTATAAAATCATATACTTTACATTTAATTTATATAGATAGAGCTTCGAGCCTCAAAAAGGGGACAACTTTTTGTCAGCTAATTGTCAAATTAGCCGACTCGTTTTTTATTTATCTGTAATCTATTAATTTATGCATAAAATGCATCTTAACGTATTATTTAATAAATAAAATGAGTGTTTACGCATTAAAAAGATGAAGAATTTATAAGACAGAAAAAATATAGAAGTAATAAAGGAATCACTCATAACTATTTATCATGCAAAATTATATGAAAAATTGACCCGTTTCACTCGAAGCATTTCTATGGAGACACTCTGTCTATATAATCTAAGACTTTACATTACCATTAGATTGTGATGATTTAAAGCAGCTGATCTTGCTGAGCGGACAGGGTGGGAGACAGTCGGAGTCATTCTTATTCGCACACTCCAAGCGCGGGTCCGAGCACCCGCAATACTTCTCGAAGCATTTTAACTGGATGACAATGGGAAACCAATGACTAACACATATTGTTTACTATTATATTGAATTCTGTACTATTCATGTATATACTATGCCCTGTAGCAGGAAATGCAGATAATTTGGTAACACCTTATATAGTTGTCTATAAGTGAAAGTATTTGTAAAATCATTTGAGGAGTTTTTAAGTTGATCAATTATAAACAAACAAATCTTTCCTCTTTATAATATTAAGTTGTATAGATATTGAAGTAAGTATATGGAAGAAATACATGGTAGGGAGTTTGAGGAGGGGAATTTAATAGATAGATCACGTGGCTCAGGGCCGTTCCTTATGGCAGTCTATGGGAGAGGCCTATGTCCAGCAGTGGACAGGTAACAGTTGATATAATGGTAATGATCTTTTACGTGAACATACCTGCATTGCATTCGTATTAAGGGGTTGTTTAGAGTTTTAATGAGGGTTTTACACAGGCCCGGCCTTAGTGTATCTAGCACTCCTGAGCAAATGACTGACTCCCCACCCCCTTTGACGATGAATAAAACAGTTTTAGTGCCTAATAAAAAGATTATTAGCCATTTCGGTTCTCTTACACCGGGTTCTATGATATCTACATACTGGTCTCCTACAAAACATGGTAATTGCCCATTTTGATGATTAACTGACATTAAAAATTCTAACATCTCATTACTGAGGAGAAAGGGATTGTTAGTAATGGAGACTAAAAATCCCATTGCCAGCAATATACCCAACCAGGTCGACCTCCTCGTGGTTTCCTGACCTGGAAACTATCATGGTTAATTCCTGATGAATTCATCACGATGGGCTAACTGGCCTGTTTTCATTCTCATCTATCACTCCTCACTGGTGCTCCGCCAGCGTATCCCGTTAGCGCAGGCGGGGTTACTATTCCAATTTCACGCATCAAAAAAAAAAAAAACTATTTTCACCCATCAAAAAAAAAGACTTTGTACAAAAGTCTCATAACTCGTTGTGTTTGCATCCCTATCGCACAACGCATTGACGCCTTCCATGGTACTGATAGGCCTTGACGGGCCGTCAGCTTGTTTGCCATTCTAAGTTTTATAAAAAAAAAAAAAAAACCTTGACGCCCCCGGGCGCCGCCCGTACGGAGCCCTAAATCGATACTGATTTTACATAAACTGGTGATGCGGAACATACAGATAGATACTGCTTAATAAATATATTAATTCACCTTACATCCGCTCCTCGAATAATCCCTATCGGACACACAATTTTCAGCTATAATATTATCCTCGTCGTCGACCCCATCGAGCAATAGAGTGAACAGCAGCTGTACTTGGTACACGTGACCCCGCTGCAGGGAAATCGGCTCCACTTCCTCCTCACCAGTGTACTTTGTGAACATCTACAATTATCAGTACCACAGTCATACATGATGCGATGAAATGACGAAAAAAAATTGTTTATGCTACTTAACACGTTCACGCCGGCGCAGGCCATCGGTGGCCCGCGCTAGACTGTCTCATTGGACGATACGTACCACCGGTGGTACGCACTAATTTGTCTTATGTGGCGGCGCGTACCACCGGTGGCCCGCACTAGACTGTCTTTTCTGGCGGCGCGTACCACCGGTGGTACGTATTCGATTGTGCTATTAGCATCAATTAGAGCGCCGCCACGCAGCAAAAAACATTAAAGTCGGCCCCGGCGTGAACGTGTTAAACGAATATGAGATATATCTCCCACGAACACAGGTTATGGAATGAGCTCCCTGCCGAGATTTTCCCAAGAGACTACAGCATGGGGTTCTTCAAAAGGGGGGTAAAGAGATTTCTTCAGTGTCGGCAACGCGCGCGTGATACCTCTAGTATTGTAGGCGTTCATGGGCTACGGTATCCGCTTACCATCGGGTGGGCCGTATGCTCGTTTGCCACCTCAGTGGTATAAAAAAATGAGATAATTATCTTAAGATCTGTGTAAACTAAATAAAAAAAAAATAAATAGGTCAGCTTTGTTAGTAATTTTGGGTAGATATTCGTCCCAAATATAACTTTTTACAGTAAAATAATGACCATGTGTTATTAAACACAGGATAATTTCCCCAAGCCATAAGATAGAGAGATAGATAGATAGATAGATAGATAAAAAAAACAAAAATACAAAAACAAAATACATATTACTATTCCTTCATGGGTGCCAAAAGATTTTTAGTAATAGAGATTGTTAGTATTAGAGATTAAGGCCCCTTTGCTAGCAATATACCTAACTAGGTCGACCTCCACGTGGTCCCTGGAAACCATCGTACTAAATTCCAGGTGTACTTATCACGATGGGCTAACTAACCTGCCTTTTCATTCTCACCTTTCTTTTCCTTTCATTTCTTTCCCTCACTGGTGCCCCGCCGGTGTATATATACGGTGTGTAGGGCGGACAGGGTTACCATTCCATTGTAATCCATTAAAAAAAACCTTCAATTACTATGTTTATACTATGTATATTTTAATTCGATATGTTCATATTTTCCTCTAAGATTCTTAATGGGATAACGTTTTCAAATAAGTGGTATTATATTGGTAAGGCACTTACATAGTAACCGTGAAGTGGTGACAGTATGGTAGGATAGTCCAATACTATGTCCAATGCTCTACTGGTGTCCAAGGTATCTAGCAATCGATTTGTGGTTTCATTTTGTAATCTGAAATGGAAGACAACTAGAAAAAAAACTCAAGCCTCGGTCTTGGTCAAAGAATGCTTATAAATATATCAACTTTGGTAGACGTAGCATTGTTTTCATTTCAATAATTTACAGATAGATAGATAGATAGATGACCTTTATTACCAGTATTAAGAAAATAAAAAATTAAAACAACAAAAAGAAAAAAGAACAATTAATGTTGCTGGCAATAGGAGCCGCCTCAGCTGTTGCTATATATATATACAGCTCCAGCGAGATGTACCTATATAGCGCTGATTTTCAGGCGGCCCTTAACTCCTAACTTATATATTTAATTAGTATTATATAATGTAAATAATACCGTATGGTCCCGGTACAGAATGAACCATCTCTTCCTTTTAGTGGACTCTTAAGAGACGACTAAGAGACGGCGAGGGATGGGCAGCAGGGTCCCTCTTAAAACATCTCTAAAGCCTGACTGCGGTTGCCAATCCGCCTGCCAAACGTGGCAACTACTGGCAAAACCCACCAAGAGGGAGGTCTTTGTTCAGTAGTGGACGGTCAAGGGCTCATATGATGATGATGAATAAGCCAACTGACACGCCTTCATCCTCACCTATCATTCTTCAGTGATATCCTGTCAGCGTATACCGGTAGAGTTAAAAAAAAATTACCTATATTGATCTATGACGCAGCAGACACCCCACACAGTGAATTGTTTAACAAATAGTCGTTGGCAGGGTATACTGGTGTACTGCCACCTACAAGCGGCGAGGATGTCGCCGCAATCTGGAGAGTTCTCTAGAAGACCGTCTGCCAGCTGTACCTCATTCTCCTCCAGTATTTGGTCAAGCATTTGTAATTGTTCCAGATTTGCTGGTTTCTTTCTTAACGCGTTCGAGAGTGTAGCAGCGAGATGCGTTGCGTTTTCCACATTTTTTCTGATTATGTACAACCGAAATATAAGTTAGTTTTTATGATATAAATTTGAGCTAATAAACAGAAAGGTGAGTTTTGATCAATCAATCCACAGCCCTGATCACATAGCTCGAAGAACCGACGACTGATGGGTGTACGACTAAAGGTACGACGACCCCCGTCGCCGGTCCCAGCCGTAACACTAAAACTCATTTCGGAGAAAAAATTTTCCGAGCCATTTTGTTACATTTCTCAACGGTCGGAAAAAGAGCACAAAAGATGTTCTTAGTTGAAGCGTGACTGTGACCCCCCCCCCCAGCCCACTAGATGGAGTGACGATCTCAAAAACATTGCAGGGAGTCAGTGGATGCAGGTGGCTCAGGACAGTTCCATATAAAATAAAAGAAAAAAAAGAAAAAAAATTTAAAGTGAAAGTAAATTTTTCTGTTACCTCTTAACTCTATAACAGTTAAACCGATAGTGATAAAATTTTGTATATACCTATGTAGTGTTCGAGATGGAAATTTTCAGGGAATTAATTAATCCTGGTCCATTGCGAATCGAAGTCGCAGGAAAAAAGCGGTAAGTATGCGATAAAATCGTACAAGTACAATTGACGCAAAAAAGCGTCGGCGACCGCCTCTGGTGCAGGACATATGGCCATCGTTTGTGGCATGCCCGTCGACGAGATGTAGGTATGGTTGACCGCGGCGCTTAACTGCTGGTCCTCAAGTACCATCACGGACGAGTGGCGCAGGAAACGCAGCCAAAACGTAGCGCAGAGCACGCCCGCGCACAATGCGCTCGCGCAGCATATCAATATCCAGCCTATGCTGTAATACAATATGTCAATAATTAAAATAAAAACATACAATAAGAAAATAAATAAAAATACATAATCAGTACATTCTGTGATGTTTGCATAGGCACCTCTGTCCCATTCGTGTTTCTACCATGAAGCAGTTGTGTTTGCATGACTGTGTTTCGGTTTGAAGGGTGGAATATGGCTGTAAATTTACAGGTCTTAGGAATGGCAATACCTGCGGGGTATCATGTACGAAACAGTATATACTCTGTTAAGTCCATGGTACTGCTCATGTCTATAGGCGACGGTTACCATTTTTAATCAGGTGAGCCGTCAGCTCACATCACTGTTTGCCATTGTAAGTTGTATAAAAAAAAATTTTTTTCAATTGTATAGAAGGTAAATTTTTTCGGCTTCGGCTTTTGAAATGCCATAGAAACATTATAAAAATAATAAATATTAAGACTGTGTAAAACAGGTCGTTCTTTTTGAAGTCGGTTTACAATCGACTACAAAAAAAGTTTTTTATTCGGCTGTATTTTTTTCTATGTTTGTCACCTCATAACTTTGTCAGTTTAAAACCGATTTGGAAAAATCTTTTTTTATCTGAAAGGATATGCTTACAGGTTGGTCCTATAGACATTTTATCAAAATCGGGTCAGTAATTTACTTTTTAAATCAAAATAACTGATTTTATCACATTTGAAGTGGGTTTTTTTATGGGACACAATTTTTAAATTATTTTTACTGTATGTTCTTTAATATTTACGGTGATTTACATGTCTATAAATTACCACTTTCTTAATGTGTACTTTTGTTTTTATATATTTTTTTTTTTGATGGGTGAAAATGGTATGTTAACCCCGCATGCGCTAACGCGATACGCTGGCGGAGCACCAGTGAAGGGTGATCGATGAGAATGAAAACAGGCCAGTTAGCCCATCATGATGAATTCATCGGGAATTAACCATGATAGTATTCCGGGGGAACTGCGAGGAAGTCGACCTGGTTGGGTATATTGCTAGCAATGGGATTCTCAATCTCCATTACTAACAATCCCTTTTCCCCCAAATCTGTGCCTCTAGTGAGAAAGGTTCAATTCAAAATGGTCACTTTTCAGGAGAGCCAAAAAACTATTTTAAATAAAGAAAAAAATTCTGCTGCTTTTATTATTTGCTAATTGAAAAAGTCAATGATTGCATTTATAGTAATTTTTTCTCCTCTTTCTTATGAAATTGTCGGTTTTTGTGTAAAACCTATAGTTTAAAAAATAATTCTATTATACCTAATCACACTTAACAAAAATATTAAAATTATGATGTGAAAATAGTTTTAAGTTGAATTAAAACTATTTCATTGAAGTATTGAAGAAAAACAATGTTGTGTATTTTACGCTATAAAAAATAATCGCTATTAAATGGTGTAAAAGGGTTCAAATCGAACTGATTCATTTTACAAAAATAATTTTTGTAAAATATTGTAGTTTTATTTCTAATTATGACTTTTTTACCACAAATATTTTGTTAATTGTAGCCTTTTACATGTTTACTATCTCTATTGTTTTTAAAGATATCGTTACGATTCTTATACCATTCGAAAGAGAAAAATTTGCTTATTTAAAGTAGCCTAAAAAAGAAAAAGGCTATAACTTGAGTTATACCCTTTCTCACTAGAGGCACAGAAATATATATATTAGTACCTATATAAAAGTGCGCTACCAACCCTTTGTCTTTTTCTCAATGTCCTCCACCCAAAGGTTGTATGGAAGAGATTGCTTAGCGATAAGGCCGCCTTCTGTATCGCTTCTTAATAATATTTACTATAATTTTTTTTTTCTTGGTGCAATAAAGTGTAAAAAAAGAAAAATGTTAGTACTTACCGATCTTGATAATAACGAGAATATAGATATTTGAAACCATGAAGGGTTGTTGTTTTTAAAAAGCGTTTGATAACACGACACACTGCAGACCGTCTCATGGTGATTCTCTGTATCAACATATTAGAGTATAAAATAGTGTAATTATCTCACAGCACACCAAATAAAACTTTTTTTTTATTTTTTTATACAACTTAGAATGGCAAACAAGCTGACGATCCACCTGATGGAAAGTGGTAATCATCGCCTATAGACATGAGCAGTACCGTGGACATAACAGACTATATTGTCTCGCCCATGATATCCCCATGCGTTGCCATTCCTGAGGACTCAGGTGTTATTCCTCTGTACCCAGTAAATTCATGCCATATCCTACTCTTCAAACCGAAACACAGCCATGCAAACACAACTGCTTCACGGTTGAAACACGAACGGGACAGAGGTACCCAAGCAATCGACTTTTGTACAAAGTCTTCCTCTAGCTCCAGAGCCGTAGTTAGACACAAGATTAAGGTAGGGCAAAGGAACTTTTTGATAGGGCAGAAACCATAATTAAGTGACTTAGAAAAACAAATCTTATTTTCTTGAGGCCATTCATTTTCAAATAGGGCGTTGGGCCTTTTAAGGTAGGCCCTTTCCCTCCCTCGCTACGGCTATGTTATGCTCTTTTCTCTAATAGGTTTATCTAGGTACTACCTATATCTTTATGTACTTAATGAACAATTTGGGGAACGAGATTTTTAGTAATGGGAATTTACCAGCTTCTTTACTAACAATAAATCCTATCAGATCGACCTCTACACGGATCCCCCTGGACACCACCGTAGTTAATTCTTGTTAAATCACGATAGGCTACCTGACTTACTTGCATTCTCATTGGTGCCCCATCAGTGTCTACCGATAGTGCAGGCAGAGTTACCATTTCATTATCATCTCATGAAACAAAATACTGAACAAATCGTCCATTAGTTAGATTATTAAATAGACTGTTGTGACGCGGGGAGGTCGACCTGATAGGGTATATTGCTAGCAATGGGACTGATAGTTGGCATTACTAACAGTCCCCCCCCCCCCCACCCGCCTAACTACGATTGTCAATCCGCCTGTCAAACGTGGCAAATGCTGGCAAAACCCTTCAAGGGGAGACTTATGTTCAGCAGCGGACAGTTAAAGGCTTGATATTATTATCATCATTGAATTAATAACATTATGAAAATAACACTATAATGTGATATGCACCTTATTATTTCAAAAACTTAAACGAATACTTTGCATATTTATGATATAAATATGAAATAATAACAAAAAATCGCAACACAATCCTATAACAATCACTGGAACTGTACTGTTCACTGTAATATTCGATAGACATTGAAAAGCCACTTTAAAAGGATGTACGCTCACTTATCCACATAATATTTTGTTGCTAGTTTTTCATGACATTTTTTAAGTTACAATTTTTATTTATGCTATCAGGTATAATAGATTTTATATACATATTATGAAAATAATCTAATGGTTTTTTTTTCGCAATGAACTAGGTTGCAACCATACGGTTAGCTTGATGGCAAATGAACACTGAAGCCGATGAGGGCCTGCAATATTAGAGAGTGATTCGCGTAATGCTGAGATGAAAGTCTAAATAGTTTTAGTACCCAATATTACCACTGCTTTATGTCACTCTTTGAACAGTAACACCCAATGTTTGTATGTAGATATGTACTTCTACAGAAACTCCCCAACTAGCTGGAAATCATACAAAAGTCGTCTACACGGGTGCTTTTATCCCATTCATTCTGCTGTGAAGCAGTTATGCTTACTGAATTGTTTTAGATGTAAGAATGAGAATATGGGGGAATAATATTTTAAACCTCAGGTATGACAACCTATGGGAGGTACCTTGAACATCAAAATATTTTCTGTAATATCTATGGATCCATTGACTATAGACGTCTGTTACCTATTTCCATCAAGCGAGCCATCTGTGTTATTTTTTATAATGTGTGAAAATGAAATGGTGACACCTCTGTGCTACTGGTATACGCTGGCGGGGCACTAATAATAGATGATAGGTGAGGATGGAAGCAGCTCTGGTAGGTCATCATCATGAAAAAATCGCAAAGAATTAAACACGATGGTTTCCAAAAGGAACCGCATGGAGACCGATCTGATATTACTAGCCATGGGGCTGGTAGACCCACTTTTTGACAATTTCTTTCCTCCGACTACTTACTATTTCAAGTTGCATAAAATAAATTAATAACAAAATTTATAACCACACCTATATTTATGCAAATAGCTCTTTTGTATATTGTAAAGCAGGTAAGTGGGGAAAGAACCTAATACAACTGTTTACCGTGCCATATGCAATTTCAGATAAAAATCAGTAGCTGCATGGAAATTATGGTCGAATGAATCACGCCTACCCGTAATGACACCACTTAATACATGCTTTACTTCGGTGTTAATAGCTTTTAATGTTTTCACAGTCATTAATATTAAATATGATAGCTACCTATTTAGTTTTCGACAAAAGTTAATTATTTATTCATTAATGTCTAATGAATAAAATAATAAAGACTACGCAAGTACTACTTTTCAACCGACTTCAGAAAAGGAAGGTGTTCACAATTCAGTTGTATTTTGTTAAACATATTAAGAACAAATCTATATCTATCACTTTTTGACCTGCTTAAAAAAACACAAGGATTCATGGTTCCAAAAAATATCTGAATGAAACAATAGATGGATACATTTATTTACGTACATTTTTCTATTTAGACATTAATTTAGGCAACATTTATCTAGTTTAAACATTGGAAATGACTTACAAATCATTGGTAACCTAATTATAAATAGTATAAAATGTATAAGTTTAAACTGTAAGTAACTATACCCATAACCAGCTATATAGCGGATATGCAAACAATAGCCGCGGCTAGTTTATCTGTCGTCGACATAAACAGCTATTGATTATAGCCGGCTACCGATAGCCGCGGTAGCTGTCGTAGCTGGAAGTAACGATAGCGTATGCCAGTCGACAATTTATTGCTTTAATAGCCGCCCGGCTGTATTACGTTGGGTTCGATCCTCACCGCAGTAACAAATAAATTAGATAATCCAATATGCGTTTTTTTTTTTATTTATTTAATTTTTGTTTCAAATAACTATTATATTACTATATGAGGAGTATATTTATTAAGAAAAAAATAATATTATCAATAAGAGTTAGCGACATCTATGATCTATGAACTTACAGTTTAAGATAGTCTATTCGATTATAGTTGATATAGCCTTTTAACTCATTACATAGATTGCCCCACTATAACCAAAATAAAAAAAATAAAAAAACACTCGCATTATCTAACATTATGTTGTTGCGTTGAGAATCGAATCCGATGTGGTGTGGCTGGGCAGTTGTTCAACTAAAGAACTAACGCTGAGCATCTCGCTATTGGGTCGATCATAATGAGTCTTTCCTATAATAGCTGATAGTCAAATAGCTGGCCATTTAGCCAGCTTTTACATTATAAATAACCGAATACTAGTTATTAAAATTTCGGCGTTACCCATCGCTAGTGGTGAATAGCGATGGGTAGCTATACCGATTCTCAGATATATAGCGGCTATGCTAAGAATAGCCGTGAATAGGTTATCTGTCGTCGACACATACAGCTATAGGTTATAGCCGACTAACGGACCGTCAACTGTAGTGCCATTTTATAAACAAACAGCCTAGACTTATCTATCTGCCTTAATGCAGCGATGAAATATTGGAATGGTATGCACTAATTCCTAACACGCGACACAAGCGCTCAACGACGAGCGGAGTAAACGGGAATTACTCGAAGCTGTGCGGTTTGACATTTTGTCATTGTATTTGGTATTCACTAACAAAAATCAGCCTCGCCTTCGCCGACAACCTAGCCTACAGCCTCGATTTCTTATGTCGAAATCAAAAGCTTTGTTTCCTACTCCGTTTACATCCACTAATAAATTCATTTGTTTCTCGAGTTCTGCAATATTTAATTGCATTGAAATTATCAATTTGTAATTAAATACGATGGCAGAGCGTTTATGTGTAATCCATTTCAATCCATTTGTTGAAAGAAGCTAAAATAGAAAATGATTGTAAGTAAAATAGAAAAGGCTTGGTAAATTTAGCTGAACCACTTGAAGCTGGCATCTTTTCTTCAGATGTGTTTTCCATAGAGAGGGCACGCTTCTCTAGACATTCAAGAAATTCAGTAAGTTTTGCTACTACCTTTGCATTTCTTTCTAAAAGAAAACCAGCTAGCCAGAAAGATATGGTGTCAACAGAAGGATACTAAATTAAATAAACAACAGAGATGTAGACAAGAAACAAGAGCTACAGACTAAATCAAATTCAACACACTTGTTTTTTACTTTGATTTATTTATTTCTCCCTTTATCAAACTTGGAATGGCAAACAAGATAACAGCCCACCTGATGGAAAGTGGTAATCGTCGCCTATAGAGATGAGAATTACCATGGACATAACAGAGTACTTATACTGTTTCGCCCATGTCATTGCCGTTCCTGAGGACTCAGGTGTTATTCCTCTGTACCTGGTAAATTCACGCCATATTTGCCAAGCAAGCAGTTGCAAAACTCCCCTTATTGGAAATGCTTATGTCCACCAGCGGACAGTTAGCGGCTGAAATAATAAAATAATAATATAGTATAGCAGGTTTGTGGTTTTAATGTTTTCAAATAAGGATTCATGGTTACAAAAAAAAAAAGAATGAAACAAAAGATTAAAGTAAATGAATACATTTATTTACATTCATTTATATATTTAGATACTAATTTAGGCAACATTTACCTAGTTTAAACATTCGAAATAACTTACAAATCATTGGTAACCGAATTATGAATAGTAAAAGGTTTATAAGTTTAAAAAAATCACAGCCTCTATAAGCACCAATAATGTACATATAAATCGATATAATAATATTTAATTACAATATAAAAATGGATTGTGTAAAAATAGAATTACACAAGGTAGGTAATATTATATTCAAATACATTTATAATCATACATTTAAATACACAATTTACCATTGATTCCAATCTATTCAGCAGTTTCAAACATTCAAACATGTAACATATATATTTACAAATTTTCACATTTATAAAATTAAGTAAGATATTTCTAAAGTTATACTAATTACCGGCAAATAGAGTAATTTTTTGTTGGTGGTACAATTAAAAACTATAATAGTAAAAATTTTGTTCACTTAAAAATACGAAAAATTATGTTCTAAAATAAAGAAAACGGCCATCTCTTATAAATATCCCACACAAATTTTGTAGGCTACTTGTATCTGACGACTGAATTCAGTTACTGCAAGAACAGCAACCGTCTAACGGGTATTAATTCGTATAAAACAATACATATCAAGTTCAATCAATATCATTCGTATCAAGTTACAAATCGTTACAATTACAAAATATTAATATCATGGCGAGTAGTCAAAGAATAAAAAAAAAAAATTAGAATTCATTGCTTTAATTCAATAATAATTAAAAGAAGAAAAAAGAAAACAACATTAATTTCATTGAGTGCCGACCTTGTAAAAAACTTTGTTCAAAGTTCGGTCAGCACTAGAGTTGTTCATTTTAAGTGCAAGTATGCAGTTGGACAACTAGACTGGAGCCTGGGAGCGGGGCGCGGGGCGCGCGGGGCGCGCGGGGCACACGTCCAGCAGGCAGAAGGGCGCGCGGCACACGGGGCACGTGCAGCGGCCCGCCAGCCACCGCTCCTGCGGGCCCGCCGCGCGCGTCGCCCACCACCGCCCTATGCACGCCGCGCACCACAGCACCCTGTACGCCCGAGTATAGACATTTCATTCGGTCCACACTAACTTCACTTCATTGAGTTGAGACAACTTTTTTGCTAACGAGGTATCTCCACCGAATGCGCTCATAGGAACGATATATTCTATGGCCCAGACCCCGTACTATCCGGGACATGGTTCTTTCGATGTATCCATAAAAACTATCGTAGTTAACTATGCTAAGTGCCACACTATCACACCGATCGCCCGGCCCACGAGGAACCAGGCGACAAACATCTGGGGGCACACTATTTGTTATATTATATAAACAAGAAGTAACTAACCTGCAGTTACAATTTTTGCACTGCTGTAGGCCGCCCCCTAAATGTGGTGGAGGTGCCAAACATCGGCGCGTGATCTTCACGTCCGCTTGACTCTGCATACAACAGATGCACTGTTCTATTTCCTGCATTAAAACAAACGAATATTCAAATTTTTTTTTTTTTTTTTTTTTTGTAATTTCAACATGCTAAATATCACTTAGGAATCTACTTTCGATTATTTATTTACCCGTTACTTCATAAGTAAAAAATAATAATGATAGATATAAAACAAATTTCAAATTTAAAAAATTACGTGACAGAGAGCAAAAACACTTACCTGGTCCACATAATAAATAGGATTCTGTTCAATATGTTGCTTGAACACTGCGACAAATCTCTCGATCTGAGTGGTTAAGAGAGATAGGTGTTCGGGCACCCTTATGGGGCGGGCCAGCCTCTGCAGCAGGTCCCTCATAGCAGCTGTCGACACACGAAACACGAAGCGCTCCACTTCGTCAACAGATGGAATTGCTTCTATATTCACATATTGAATTTTGTCTTCTCCCGATGATGTGACATTATGATTGTCCGTCTGGTAGATTAATAATGTAATTTAAAAGTATTCTATACATTTAAATGCCAAAATTGTTCTAATAAAGCTTAGTGTTTAACGTAGTTACATTCTACACATTTATAGATATTTAAATTTGAATCAGATGATTTCCACATTAAAATCTGTCTGAACTTAAGGCAGGGAAAAGTATGAATTTTGGACATTTAGTAAAGAATCCAGTTAATAAGCATTTTGTAATCATTAATCACTTGGATGGGAATGGTATCCAATATATAACAATATCGAGTAAAACATACATTAATGCTAGCACAGCTGAACATATTCCTACCCCGTACTGTGGGTCAGTAGTTTTTACGCTTGGCAGGCAGGTCGGTAAGTCAATTAGGGTTTGATGATGTTTTAAGAGGGACTCTTCTGTGAATACGAACACCAGTTTTTTTTTTATGCAATTACAATGGCAAACAAGCTGACTGCCCACCTGATGGAAAGTGGTAACCTATACAGGTCGCCTATAGACGTGAGCAGTATCATGGACATAACAGAGTATACTGATTCGCCCATGATACTCCCCATGCGTTGCCATTCCTGAGGACTCAATGCCCTGTAAATTTACTGCCATATTCCAACGTCCATACCAAAACACAGCCATGAAAACATGACTGCTTCACAGTAGAAACAAGAATATGACAGAGATACCAAAGCAAACGACTTTTGTATAAAATCTCTCACTGGTAAACAGGCAATGAATACTTACAGCAGTAACCATGAGTGTGCAGTCGTCCTGCTTCACAATATTCAACTTGTATTGTGACACTTTTATGAGCCAGGTTTCAGTGGCTACAAATTTACTTGTAGCTGTTAATGGTACGGACACTTTATCAACACTGAAAAATTAAAATATTATTTAATAAATATATTATAAGGAGATTAGATATTTTAAATTCTCCTACTGGTTATTAACCACCTATTGAGGGCTAAAAATTTATACTCTATAATAACATACTTTTATTACATTACACTTTAAAGAAATAAATAATACTTTAAACAAATACTTTATACAGGTTATAGAAGAAAAAATGATCTCTCACCTTCTAAATTCAATATTAAGGCTGTTAGCCACCACTCGCCAATCTTGTCCAGGTGAGGCATAATATAGCAGCGACCTCACAGCGGGATGTTTGGTACTGTTGTATTCCCACCAACACAGTATCTTATAGCACATCATTATTGGTAAAATCGCTGTTCCCACAGCCGCCGACAACATCCACGGCCCTCGCTCGCCCCCGCACCACAAACAAATTACATACCCAAATGGTAACGTGGAATGTATTAGAGCGGTCATCGTTATCCTCTTCGTATGATATTCAATAAAGTTCTTTTTTTCCGAACCCAAATAGTTTTCAAATAGCTGAGCGATGACGAAGCCAGCTGATACGAACTCCGTGGGTGGATATAACACACATATTGAAAATAACACGTAAAGCAATGTTAGCAGCACATCCATTATTGAAAATATAATACTTATTCTATAAACTATATAAAATTCCTAAAAATTAACTATACACTAGCATAAAAGAGTAAAAGTTTGAATAATATACGTATTTAAAGCACACTTCACACCACTCACAGTCTTCCAAATCAAAACTAATATGGCGCTGACAAGTGACAGTGACAAGGGATGGATAGCGATGTGTAACTATACCCATAACCAGCTATATAGCGGATATACAAATAATAGCCGCAGCTAGTTTATCTGTCGTCGACATAGACAGCTAATGATTATAGCCGGCTACCGATAGCCGCGGTAGCTGTCGTAGCTGGAAGTAACGATAGCGTATGCCAGTCGACAATTTATTGCTTTAATAGCCGCCCGGCTGTATTACGTTGAGTTCTAACCTCACCGCAGTAACAAATAAATTAGATAATCCAATATGCGAATTTTTTTTTATTTATTTCATTTTTCTTGCAAATAACTATTATATTACTATATATTTATTAAGAAAAAAATTATATTATCAATAAGAGTTAGCGACATCTACGATCTGTGAATTTAAAGTTTGAGATAGCCTATTCGATTATAGTTGAAATAGCTTAAAGCCTTTTAACTCATTACATACATTGCACCACTATAACCAAAATAAAAAAAAATAAAAAGAAAAAACACTCGAATTATCTAACATTATATTGCTGCGTTGAGAATCGAATCCGATGTGGTGTGGCTGGGCAGTTGTTCAACTAAATAACTAACGCTAAGCATCTCGCTATTGGGTCGATCATAATGAGTCTTTCCTATAATAGCTGATAGCCAAATAGCTGGCCATTTAGCCAGCTTTTACATCATAAATAGCCGGATACGAGTTATTAAAATTTTGGCTAGTTACCCATCGCTAGTGGTGAATAGCGATGGGTAGCTATACCGATTCCCAGATATATAGCGGCTATGCAAAGAATAGCTGCGAATAGGTTATCTGTCGTCGACATATACAACTATGGGTTATAGCCGACTAACCGACCGTCAACTGTAGTGCCATTTTATAAACAAACAGCCTAGACATCAACCTTGACGCAGCGATGAAATATTGAAATGGTATTCACTAATTCCTAACACGCGACACAAGCGCTCAACTACGAGCTTTAAGACGAGCGGAGTAAACGGGAACTACTCGAGGCTGTGCGGTTTGACATTTTGTCATTGTATTTGGTGTTCTCTAACAAAAATCATCAGCCTCGTTTTCGCCGACAACCTAGCCTACAGCTTCGATTTCTTATGTCAAAATCAAAAGCTTTGTTTCCTACTCCGTTTGCATAGTATTCCACTAATAAATTCATTTGTTTTTCGAGTTCTGCAATATTTAATTGCATTGAAATTATCAATTTGTAATTAAAAACGATGGCAGATCGTTTATGTGTAATCCATTTCAATCCATTTGTTGAAAGAAGCTAAAATAGAAAATGATTGTAAGTAAAATAGAGAAGGCTTGGTGAATTTAGCTGAACCACTTGAAGCTGGCATCTTTTCTTCAGATGTGTTTTCCATAGCGAGGGCACGCTTCTCTAGAAATTCAAGAAATTCAGCAAGTTTTGGTACTACCTTTGCATTTATTTCTAAACGAAAACCAGCTAGCCAGAAAGATATGGTGTCAACAGAGGGATACTAAATTAAATAAACAACAGAGATGTAGACAAGAAACAAGAGCTACAGACTAAATCAAATTCAACACACTTGTTTTTTATTTTGATTTATTTATTTCTCCCTTTATCAAACTTGGAATGGCAAACGAGATGACAACCCATCTGATAGAAAGTGGTAATCGTCGCCTATAGACATGAGCGTTACCATGGACAATAACGTCACCATATAACGACTTACTTTTATTTTGGTTTATTTCAAATAAATACTAGATGTGTCTCGTTTTAGCTTATGACAATATTATACAAAAGACAAAGACAAGAATAGTTGTCTCATATTTTTGTTGTTGTTGGTTGTTCTGTTATTTTAATCTATGTCGCAAGCCGGTCACTAGGCTGTTATCGAATACTGAAAATGTTGATTGTTGATAGTGGTCGAATAACTTGAGTACGGTGAATTATAAATACTTAATATTTTTTAACGGATATAATGATATCGCAAGAACAACAGTCATCCGTGATCTTCGAATACTTGTGATTTATATATGTTATGATAAATACGCCTCACTCCTTACAGGATGCTTATGCTCAGTAGTGGACAGTTAACGAATATGATGATAGTGAAGAATAGAAGACACGTTAATAGAGGACGAGTTGTAATTGACACACGAAACCCATTTATTTGGGGAAATTAAAGGGATTGTTGGTAATAGGGTCTAACTTACCCATTGCCAGCAATACGCCCTACCAGGTACCACCCTACCTGCACGCGGTTCCCCCTGGAAACCGTCGTGATTAATTCTAGTGGAATTCGTCACAATGGGCTAACTGCTGTTGCCAATCCGCCTGCCGAGCGTGGCAACAGCAGTTGCAAAACTCCCCTTACTGGGAAGGCTTATGTCCACCAGCGGACAGTTAGCGGCTGAAATAATAAAATAGTGTAGCAGGTTTATGGTTTTAATGTTTTCAAATAAGGGTTAATGGTTACAAAAAAAAAAAAAATTAAACAAAAGATTAAAATAAATGAATACATTTATTTACATTTATTTATATATTTAGACACTAATTTAAGCAACATTTACCTAGTTTAAACATTCGAAATTACTTACAAATCATTGGTAACCTAATTATAAATATTAAAAAATGTATAAGTTTAAAAAAAATCACAGCCTCTATAAGCACCAATAATGTACATATAAATCGATTAATAATATTTAATTACAATATAAAAATGGATTGTGTAAAAATAGAATTACATTAGGTGGGTAATATTATATTCAAATACATTTATCATCAAACATTTAAATACACAATTTACCATTGATTCCAATCTATTCAGCAGTTTCAAACATTCAAACATGTAACATATATATTTACAAATTTTCACATTTATAAAATTAAGTAAGATATTTCTAAAGTTATACTAATTACCGGCAAATAGAGTAATTTTTTGTTGGTGGTACAATTAAAAACTATAATAGTAAAAATTTTGTTCACTTAAAAATACGAAAAATTATGTTCTAAAATAAAGAAAACGGCCATCTCTTATAAATATCCCACACAAATTTTGTAGGCTACTTGTATCTGACGACTGAATTCAGTTACTGCAAGAACAGCAACCGTCTAACGGGTATTAATTCGTATAAAACAATACCTATTGACAAGTATCAAGTTACAAATCGTTACAATTACAAAATATTAATATCATGGCGAGTAGTCAAAGAATAAAAAAAAAAAATTAGAATTCATTGCTTTAATTCAATAATAATTAAAAGAAGAAAACAGATTTATTTCATTGAGAGCCGACCTTGTAAAAAACTTTGTTCAAAGTTCGGTCAGCACTAGAGTTGTTCATTTTAAGTGCAAGTATGCAGTTGGACAACTAGACTGGAGCCTGGGAGCGGGGCGCGGGGCGCGCGGGGCGCGCGGGGCACACGTCCAGCAGGCAGAAGGGCGCGCGGCACACGGGGCACGTGCAGCGGCCCGCCAGCCACCGCTCCTGCGGGCCCGCCGCGCGCGTCGCCCACCACCGCCCTATGCACGCCGCGCACCACAGCACCCTGTACGCCCGAGTATAGACATTTCATTCGGTCCACACTAACTTCACTTCATTGAGTTGAGACAACTTTTTTGCTAACGAGGTATCTCCACCGAATGCGCTCATAGGAACGATATATTCTATGGCCCAGACCCCGTACTATCCGGGACATGGTTCTTTCGATGTATCCATAAAAACTATCGTAGTTAACTATGCTAAGTGCCACACTATCACACCGATCGCCCGGCCCACGAGGAACCAGGCGACAAACATCTGGGGGCACACTATTTGTTATATTATATAAACAAGAAGTAACTAACCTGCAGTTACAATTTTTGCACTGCTGTAGGCCGCCCCCTAAATGTGGTGGAGGTGCCAAACATCGGCGCGTGATCTTCACGTCCGCTTGACTCTGCATACAACAGATGCACTGTTCTATTTCCTGCATTAAAACAAACGAATATTCAAATTTTTTTTTTTTTTTTTGTAATTTCAACATGCTAAATATCACTTAGGAATCTACTTTCGATTATTTATTTACCCGTTACTTCATAAGTAAAAAATAATAATGATAGATATAAAACAAATTTCAAATTTAAAAAATTACGTGACAGAGAGCAAAAACACTTACCTGGTCCACATAATAAATAGGATTCTGTTCAATATGTTGCTTGAACACTGCGACAAATCTCTCGATCTGAGTGGTTAAGAGAGATAGGTGTTCGGGCACCCTTATGGGGCGGGCCAGCCTCTGCAGCAGGTCCCTCATAGCAGCTGTCGACACACGAAACACGAAGCGCTCCACTTCGTCAACAGATGGAATTGCTTCTATATTCACATATTGAATTTTGTCTTCTCCCGATGATGTGACATTATGATTGTCCGTCTGGTAGATTAATAATGTAATTTAAAAGTATTCTATACATTTAAATGCCAAAATTGTTCTAATAAAGCTTAGTGTTTAACGTAGTTACATTCTACACATTTATAGATATTTAAATTTGAATCAGATGATTTCCACATTAAAATCTGTCTGAACTTAAGGCAGGGAAAAGTATGAATTTTGGACATTTAGTAAAGAATCCAGTTAATAAGCATTTTGTAATCATTAATCACTTGGATGGGAATGGTATCCAATATATAACAATATCGAGTAAAACATACATTAATGCTAGCACAGCTGAACATATTCCTACCCCGTACTGTGGGTCAGTAGTTTTTACGCTTGGCAGGCAGGTCGGTAAGTCAATTAGGGTTTGATGATGTTTTAAGAGGGACTCTTCTGTGAATACGAACACCAGTTTTTTTTTTTATGCAATTACAATGGCAAACAAGCTGACTGCCCACCTGATGGAAAGTGGTAACCTATACAGGTCGCCTATAGACGTGAGCAGTATCATGGACATAACAGAGTATACTGATTCGCCCATGATACTCCCCATGCGTTGCCATTCCTGAGGACTCAATGCCCTGTAAATTTACTGCCATATTCCAACGTCCATACCAAAACACAGCCATGAAAACATGACTGCTTCACAGTAGAAACAAGAATATGACAGAGATACCAAAGCAAACGACTTTTGTATAAAATCTCTCACTGGTAAACAGGCAATGAATACTTACAGCAGTAACCATGAGTGTGCAGTCGTCCTGCTTCACAATATTCAACTTGTATTGTGACACTTTTATGAGCCAGGTTTCAGTGGCTACAAATTTACTTGTAGCTGTTAATGGTACGGACACTTTATCAACACTGAAAAATTAAAATATTATTTAATAAATATATTATAAGGAGATTAGATATTTTAAATTCTCCTACTGGTTATTAACCACCTATTGAGGGCTAAAAATTTATACTCTATAATAACATACTTTTATTACATTACACTTTAAAGAAATAAATAATACTTTAAACAAATACTTTATACAGGTTATAGAAGAAAAAATGATCTCTCACCTTCTAAATTCAATATTAAGGCTGTTAGCCACCACTCGCCAATCTTGTCCAGGTGAGGCATAATATAGCAGCGACCTCACAGCGGGATGTTTGGTACTGTTGTATTCCCACCAACACAGTATCTTATAGCACATCATTATTGGTAAAATCGCTGTTCCCACAGCCGCCGACAACATCCACGGCCCTCGCTCGCCCCCGCACCACAAACAAATTACATACCCAAATGGTAACGTGGAATGTATTAGAGCGGTCATCGTTATCCTCTTCGTATGATATTCAATAAAGTTCTTTTTTTCCGAACCCAAATAGTTTTCAAATAGCTGAGCGATGACGAAGCCAGCTGATACGAACTCCGTGGGTGGATATAACACACATATTGAAAATAACACGTAAAGCAATGTTAGCAGCACATCCATTATTGAAAATATAATACTTATTCTATAAACTATATAAAATTCCTAAAAATTAACTATACACTAGCATAAAAGAGTAAAAGTTTGAATAATATACGTATTTAAAGCACACTTCACACCACTCACAGTCTTCCAAATCAAAACTAATATGGCGCTGACAAGTGACAGTGACAAGGGATGGATAGCGATGTGTAACTATACCCATAACCAGCTATATAGCGGATATACAAATAATAGCCGCAGCTAGTTTATCTGTCGTCGACATAGACAGCTAATGATTATAGCCGGCTACCGATAGCCGCGGTAGCTGTCGTAGCTGGAAGTAACGATAGCGTATGCCAGTCGACAATTTATTGCTTTAATAGCCGCCCGGCTGTATTACGTTGAGTTCTAACCTCACCGCAGTAACAAATAAATTAGATAATCCAATATGCGAATTTTTTTTTATTTATTTCATTTTTCTTGCAAATAACTATTATATTACTATATATTTATTAAGAAAAAAATTATATTATCAATAAGAGTTAGCGACATCTACGATCTGTGAATTTAAAGTTTGAGATAGCCTATTCGATTATAGTTGAAATAGCTTAAAGCCTTTTAACTCATTACATACATTGCACCACTATAACCAAAATAAAAAAAAATAAAAAGAAAAAACACTCGAATTATCTAACATTATATTGCTGCGTTGAGAATCGAATCCGATGTGGTGTGGCTGGGCAGTTGTTCAACTAAATAACTAACGCTAAGCATCTCGCTATTGGGTCGATCATAATGAGTCTTTCCTATAATAGCTGATAGCCAAATAGCTGGCCATTTAGCCAGCTTTTACATCATAAATAGCCGGATACGAGTTATTAAAATTTTGGCTAGTTACCCATCGCTAGTGGTGAATAGCGATGGGTAGCTATACCGATTCCCAGATATATAGCGGCTATGCAAAGAATAGCTGCGAATAGGTTATCTGTCGTCGACATATACAACTATGGGTTATAGCCGACTAACCGACCGTCAACTGTAGTGCCATTTTATAAACAAACAGCCTAGACATCAACCTTGACGCAGCGATGAAATATTGAAATGGTATTCACTAATTCCTAACACGCGACACAAGCGCTCAACTACGAGCTTTAAGACGAGCGGAGTAAACGGGAACTACTCGAGGCTGTGCGGTTTGACATTTTGTCATTGTATTTGGTGTTCTCTAACAAAAATCATCAGCCTCGTTTTCGCCGACAACCTAGCCTACAGCTTCGATTTCTTATGTCAAAATCAAAAGCTTTGTTTCCTACTCCGTTTGCATAGTATTCCACTAATAAATTCATTTGTTTTTCGAGTTCTGCAATATTTAATTGCATTGAAATTATCAATTTGTAATTAAAAACGATGGCAGATCGTTTATGTGTAATCCATTTCAATCCATTTGTTGAAAGAAGCTAAAATAGAAAATGATTGTAAGTAAAATAGAGAAGGCTTGGTGAATTTAGCTGAACCACTTGAAGCTGGCATCTTTTCTTCAGATGTGTTTTCCATAGCGAGGGCACGCTTCTCTAGAAATTCAAGAAATTCAGCAAGTTTTGGTACTACCTTTGCATTTATTTCTAAACGAAAACCAGCTAGCCAGAAAGATATGGTGTCAACAGAGGGATACTAAATTAAATAAACAACAGAGATGTAGACAAGAAACAAGAGCTACAGACTAAATCAAATTCAACACACTTGTTTTTTATTTTGATTTATTTATTTCTCCCTTTATCAAACTTGGAATGGCAAACGAGATGACAACCCATCTGATAGAAAGTGGTAATCGTCGCCTATAGACATGAGCGTTACCATGGACAATAACGTCACCATATAACGACTTACTTTTATTTTGGTTTATTTCAAATAAATACTAGATGTGTCTCGTTTTAGCTTATGACAATATTATACAAAAGACAAAGACAAGAATAGTTGTCTCATATTTTTGTTGTTGTTGGTTGTTCTGTTATTTTAATCTATGTCGCAAGCCGGTCACTAGGCTGTTATCGAATACTGAAAATGTTGATTGTTGATAGTGGTCGAATAACTTGAGTACGGTGAATTATAAATACTTAATATTTTTTAACGGATATAATGATATCGCAAGAACAACAGTCATCCGTGATCTTCGAATACTTGTGATTTATATATGTTATGATAAATACGCCTCACTCCTTACAGGATGCTTATGCTCAGTAGTGGACAGTTAACGAATATGATGATAGTGAAGAATAGAAGACACGTTAATAGAGGACGAGTTGTAATTGACACACGAAACCCATTTATTTGGGGAAATTAAAGGGATTGTTGGTAATAGGGTCTAACTTACCCATTGCCAGCAATACGCCCTACCAGGTACCACCCTACCTGCACGCGGTTCCTCCTGGAAACCGTCGTGATTAATTCTAGTGGAATTCGTCACAATGGGCTAACTGCTGTTGCCAATCCGCCTGCCGAGCGTGGCAACAGCAGTTGCAAAACTCCCCTTACTGGGAAGGCTTATGTCCACCAGCGGACAGTTAGCGGCTGAAATAATAAAATAGTGTAGCAGGTTTATGGTTTTAATGTTTTCAAATAAGGGTTAATGGTTACAAAAAAAAAAAAAATTAAACAAAAGATTAAAATAAATGAATACATTTATTTACATTTATTTATATATTTAGACACTAATTTAAGCAACATTTACCTAGTTTAAACATTCGAAATTACTTACAAATCATTGGTAACCTAATTATAAATATTAAAAAATGTATAAGTTTAAAAAAAATCACAGCCTCTATAAGCACCAATAATGTACATATAAATCGATTAATAATATTTAATTACAATATAAAAATGGATTGTGTAAAAATAGAATTACATTAGGTGGGTAATATTATATTCAAATACATTTATCATCAAACATTTAAATACACAATTTACCATTGATTCCAATCTATTCAGCAGTTTCAAACATTCAAACATGTAACATATATATTTACAAATTTTCACATTTATAAAATTAAGTAAGATATTTCTAAAGTTATACTAATTACCGGCAAATAGAGTAATTTTTTGTTGGTGGTACAATTAAAAACTATAATAGTAAAAATTTTGTTCACTTAAAAATACGAAAAATTATGTTCTAAAATAAAGAAAACGGCCATCTCTTATAAATATCCCACACAAATTTTGTAGGCTACTTGTATCTGACGACTGAATTCAGTTACTGCAAGAACAGCAACCGTCTAACGGGTATTAATTCGTATAAAACAATACCTATTGACAAGTATCAAGTTACAAATCGTTACAATTACAAAATATTAATATCATGGCGAGTAGTCAAAGAATAAAAAAAAAAAATTAGAATTCATTGCTTTAATTCAATAATAATTAAAAGAAGAAAACAGATTTATTTCATTGAGAGCCGACCTTGTAAAAAACTTTGTTCAAAGTTCGGTCAGCACTAGAGTTGTTCATTTTAAGTGCAAGTATGCAGTTGGACAACTAGACTGGAGCCTGGGAGCGGGGCGCGGGGCGCGCGGGGCGCGCGGGGCACACGTCCAGCAGGCAGAAGGGCGCGCGGCACACGGGGCACGTGCAGCGGCCCGCCAGCCACCGCTCCTGCGGGCCCGCCGCGCGCGTCGCCCACCACCGCCCTATGCACGCCGCGCACCACAGCACCCTGTACGCCCGAGTATAGACATTTCATTCGGTCCACACTAACTTCACTTCATTGAGTTGAGACAACTTTTTTGCTAACGAGGTATCTCCACCGAATGCGCTCATAGGAACGATATATTCTATGGCCCAGACCCCGTACTATCCGGGACATGGTTCTTTCGATGTATCCATAAAAACTATCGTAGTTAACTATGCTAAGTGCCACACTATCACACCGATCGCCCGGCCCACGAGGAACCAGGCGACAAACATCTGGGGGCACACTATTTGTTATATTATATAAACAAGAAGTAACTAACCTGCAGTTACAATTTTTGCACTGCTGTAGGCCGCCCCCTAAATGTGGTGGAGGTGCCAAACATCGGCGCGTGATCTTCACGTCCGCTTGACTCTGCATACAACAGATGCACTGTTCTATTTCCTGCATTAAAACAAACGAATATTCAAATTTTTTTTTTTTTTTTTTGTAATTTCAACATGCTAAATATCACTTAGGAATCTACTTTCGATTATTTATTTACCCGTTACTTCATAAGTAAAAAATAATAATGATAGATATAAAACAAATTTCAAATTTAAAAAATTACGTGACAGAGAGCAAAAACACTTACCTGGTCCACATAATAAATAGGATTCTGTTCAATATGTTGCTTGAACACTGCGACAAATCTCTCGATCTGAGTGGTTAAGAGAGATAGGTGTTCGGGCACCCTTATGGGGCGGGCCAGCCTCTGCAGCAGGTCCCTCATAGCAGCTGTCGACACACGAAACACGAAGCGCTCCACTTCGTCAACAGATGGAATTGCTTCTATATTCACATATTGAATTTTGTCTTCTCCCGATGATGTGACATTATGATTGTCCGTCTGGTAGATTAATAATGTAATTTAAAAGTATTCTATACATTTAAATGCCAAAATTGTTCTAATAAAGCTTAGTGTTTAACGTAGTTACATTCTACACATTTATAGATATTTAAATTTGAATCAGATGATTTCCACATTAAAATCTGTCTGAACTTAAGGCAGGGAAAAGTATGAATTTTGGACATTTAGTAAAGAATCCAGTTAATAAGCATTTTGTAATCATTAATCACTTGGATGGGAATGGTATCCAATATATAACAATATCGAGTAAAACATACATTAATGCTAGCACAGCTGAACATATTCCTACCCCGTACTGTGGGTCAGTAGTTTTTACGCTTGGCAGGCAGGTCGGTAAGTCAATTAGGGTTTGATGATGTTTTAAGAGGGACTCTTCTGTGAATACGAACACCAGTTTTTTTTTTATGCAATTACAATGGCAAACAAGCTGACTGCCCACCTGATGGAAAGTGGTAACCTATACAGGTCGCCTATAGACGTGAGCAGTATCATGGACATAACAGAGTATACTGATTCGCCCATGATACTCCCCATGCGTTGCCATTCCTGAGGACTCAATGCCCTGTAAATTTACTGCCATATTCCAACGTCCATACCAAAACACAGCCATGAAAACATGACTGCTTCACAGTAGAAACAAGAATATGACAGAGATACCAAAGCAAACGACTTTTGTATAAAATCTCTCACTGGTAAACAGGCAATGAATACTTACAGCAGTAACCATGAGTGTGCAGTCGTCCTGCTTCACAATATTCAACTTGTATTGTGACACTTTTATGAGCCAGGTTTCAGTGGCTACAAATTTACTTGTAGCTGTTAATGGTACGGACACTTTATCAACACTGAAAAATTAAAATATTATTTAATAAATATATTATAAGGAGATTAGATATTTTAAATTCTCCTACTGGTTATTAACCACCTATTGAGGGCTAAAAATTTATACTCTATAATAACATACTTTTATTACATTACACTTTAAAGAAATAAATAATACTTTAAACAAATACTTTATACAGGTTATAGAAGAAAAAATGATCTCTCACCTTCTAAATTCAATATTAAGGCTGTTAGCCACCACTCGCCAATCTTGTCCAGGTGAGGCATAATATAGCAGCGACCTCACAGCGGGATGTTTGGTACTGTTGTATTCCCACCAACACAGTATCTTATAGCACATCATTATTGGTAAAATCGCTGTTCCCACAGCCGCCGACAACATCCACGGCCCTCGCTCGCCCCCGCACCACAAACAAATTACATACCCAAATGGTAACGTGGAATGTATTAGAGCGGTCATCGTTATCCTCTTCGTATGATATTCAATAAAGTTCTTTTTTTCCGAACCCAAATAGTTTTCAAATAGCTGAGCGATGACGAAGCCAGCTGATACGAACTCCGTGGGTGGATATAACACACATATTGAAAATAACACGTAAAGCAATGTTAGCAGCACATCCATTATTGAAAATATAATACTTATTCTATAAACTATATAAAATTCCTAAAAATTAACTATACACTAGCATAAAAGAGTAAAAGTTTGAATAATATACGTATTTAAAGCACACTTCACACCACTCACAGTCTTCCAAATCAAAACTAATATGGCGCTGACAAGTGACAGTGACAAGGGATGGATAGCGATGTGTAACTATACCCATAACCAGCTATATAGCGGATATACAAATAATAGCCGCAGCTAGTTTATCTGTCGTCGACATAGACAGCTAATGATTATAGCCGGCTACCGATAGCCGCGGTAGCTGTCGTAGCTGGAAGTAACGATAGCGTATGCCAGTCGACAATTTATTGCTTTAATAGCCGCCCGGCTGTATTACGTTGAGTTCTAACCTCACCGCAGTAACAAATAAATTAGATAATCCAATATGCGAATTTTTTTTTATTTATTTCATTTTTCTTGCAAATAACTATTATATTACTATATATTTATTAAGAAAAAAATTATATTATCAATAAGAGTTAGCGACATCTACGATCTGTGAATTTAAAGTTTGAGATAGCCTATTCGATTATAGTTGAAATAGCTTAAAGCCTTTTAACTCATTACATACATTGCACCACTATAACCAAAATAAAAAAAAAAAAAAAGAAAAAACACTCGAATTATCTAACATTATATTGCTGCGTTGAGAATCGAATCCGATGTGGTGTGGCTGGGCAGTTGTTCAACTAAATAACTAACGCTAAGCATCTCGCTATTGGGTCGATCATAATGAGTCTTTCCTATAATAGCTGATAGCCAAATAGCTGGCCATTTAGCCAGCTTTTACATCATAAATAGCCGGATACGAGTTATTAAAATTTTGGCTAGTTACCCATCGCTAGTGGTGAATAGCGATGGGTAGCTATACCGATTCCCAGATATATAGCGGCTATGCAAAGAATAGCTGCGAATAGGTTATCTGTCGTCGACATATACAACTATGGGTTATAGCCGACTAACCGACCGTCAACTGTAGTGCCATTTTATAAACAAACAGCCTAGACATCAACCTTGACGCAGCGATGAAATATTGAAATGGTATTCACTAATTCCTAACACGCGACACAAGCGCTCAACTACGAGCTTTAAGACGAGCGGAGTAAACGGGAACTACTCGAGGCTGTGCGGTTTGACATTTTGTCATTGTATTTGGTGTTCTCTAACAAAAATCATCAGCCTCGTTTTCGCCGACAACCTAGCCTACAGCTTCGATTTCTTATGTCAAAATCAAAAGCTTTGTTTCCTACTCCGTTTGCATAGTATTCCACTAATAAATTCATTTGTTTTTCGAGTTCTGCAATATTTAATTGCATTGAAATTATCAATTTGTAATTAAAAACGATGGCAGATCGTTTATGTGTAATCCATTTCAATCCATTTGTTGAAAGAAGCTAAAATAGAAAATGATTGTAAGTAAAATAGAGAAGGCTTGGTGAATTTAGCTGAACCACTTGAAGCTGGCATCTTTTCTTCAGATGTGTTTTCCATAGCGAGGGCACGCTTCTCTAGAAATTCAAGAAATTCAGCAAGTTTTGGTACTACCTTTGCATTTATTTCTAAACGAAAACCAGCTAGCCAGAAAGATATGGTGTCAACAGAGGGATACTAAATTAAATAAACAACAGAGATGTAGACAAGAAACAAGAGCTACAGACTAAATCAAATTCAACACACTTGTTTTTTATTTTGATTTATTTATTTCTCCCTTTATCAAACTTGGAATGGCAAACGAGATGACAACCCATCTGATAGAAAGTGGTAATCGTCGCCTATAGACATGAGCGTTACCATGGACAATAACGTCACCATATAACGACTTACTTTTATTTTGGTTTATTTCAAATAAATACTAGATGTGTCTCGTTTTAGCTTATGACAATATTATACAAAAGACAAAGACAAGAATAGTTGTCTCATATTTTTGTTGTTGTTGGTTGTTCTGTTATTTTAATCTATGTCGCAAGCCGGTCACTAGGCTGTTATCGAATACTGAAAATGTTGATTGTTGATAGTGGTCGAATAACTTGAGTACGGTGAATTATAAATACTTAATATTTTTTAACGGATATAATGATATCGCAAGAACAACAGTCATCCGTGATCTTCGAATACTTGTGATTTATATATGTTATGATAAATACGCCTCACTCCTTACAGGATGCTTATGCTCAGTAGTGGACAGTTAACGAATATGATGATAGTGAAGAATAGAAGACACGTTAATAGAGGACGAGTTGTAATTGACACACGAAACCCATTTATTTGGGGAAATTAAAGGGATTGTTGGTAATAGGGTCTAACTTACCCATTGCCAGCAATACGCCCTACCAGGTACCACCCTACCTGCACGCGGTTCCCCCTGGAAACCGTCGTGATTAATTCTAGTGGAATTCGTCACAATGGGCTAACTGCTGTTGCCAATCCGCCTGCCGAGCGTGGCAACAGCAGTTGCAAAACTCCCCTTACTGGGAAGGCTTATGTCCACCAGCGGACAGTTAGCGGCTGAAATAATAAAATAGTGTAGCAGGTTTATGGTTTTAATGTTTTCAAATAAGGGTTAATGGTTACAAAAAAAAAAAAAAAAAAAATTAAACAAAAGATTAAAATAAATGAATACATTTATTTACATTTATTTATATATTTAGACACTAATTTAAGCAACATTTACCTAGTTTAAACATTCGAAATTACTTACAAATCATTGGTAACCTAATTATAAATATTAAAAAATGTATAAGTTTAAAAAAAATCACAGCCTCTATAAGCACCAATAATGTACATATAAATCGATTAATAATATTTAATTACAATATAAAAATGGATTGTGTAAAAATAGAATTACATTAGGTGGGTAATATTATATTCAAATACATTTATCATCAAACATTTAAATACACAATTTACCATTGATTCCAATCTATTCAGCAGTTTCAAACATTCAAACATGTAACATATATATTTACAAATTTTCACATTTATAAAATTAAGTAAGATATTTCTAAAGTTATACTAATTACCGGCAAATAGAGTAATTTTTTGTTGGTGGTACAATTAAAAACTATAATAGTAAAAATTTTGTTCACTTAAAAATACGAAAAATTATGTTCTAAAATAAAGAAAACGGCCATCTCTTATAAATATCCCACACAAATTTTGTAGGCTACTTGTATCTGACGACTGAATTCAGTTACTGCAAGAACAGCAACCGTCTAACGGGTATTAATTCGTATAAAACAATACCTATTGACAAGTATCAAGTTACAAATCGTTACAATTACAAAATATTAATATCATGGCGAGTAGTCAAAGAATAAAAAAAAAATTAGAATTCATTGCTTTAATTCAATAATAATTAAAAGAAGAAAACAGATTTATTTCATTGAGAGCCGACCTTGTAAAAAACTTTGTTCAAAGTTCGGTCAGCACTAGAGTTGTTCATTTTAAGTGCAAGTATGCAGTTGGACAACTAGACTGGAGCCTGGGAGCGGGGCGCGGGGCGCGCGGGGCGCGCGGGGCACACGTCCAGCAGGCAGAAGGGCGCGCGGCACACGGGGCACGTGCAGCGGCCCGCCAGCCACCGCTCCTGCGGGCCCGCCGCGCGCGTCGCCCACCACCGCCCTATGCACGCCGCGCACCACAGCACCCTGTACGCCCGAGTATAGACATTTCATTCGGTCCACACTAACTTCACTTCATTGAGTTGAGACAACTTTTTTGCTAACGAGGTATCTCCACCGAATGCGCTCATAGGAACGATATATTCTATGGCCCAGACCCCGTACTATCCGGGACATGGTTCTTTCGATGTATCCATAAAAACTATCGTAGTTAACTATGCTAAGTGCCACACTATCACACCGATCGCCCGGCCCACGAGGAACCAGGCGACAAACATCTGGGGGCACACTATTTGTTATATTATATAAACAAGAAGTAACTAACCTGCAGTTACAATTTTTGCACTGCTGTAGGCCGCCCCCTAAATGTGGTGGAGGTGCCAAACATCGGCGCGTGATCTTCACGTCCGCTTGACTCTGCATACAACAGATGCACTGTTCTATTTCCTGCATTAAAACAAACGAATATTCAAATTTTTTTTTTTTTTTTTTTTTAATTTAAACATGCTAAATATCACTTAGGAATCTACTTTCGATTATTTATTTACCCGTTACTTCATAAGTAAAAAATAATAATGATAGATATAAAACAAATTTCAAATTTAAAAAATTACGTGACAGAGAGCAAAAACACTTACCTGGTCCACATAATAAATAGGATTCTGTTCAATATGTTGCTTGAACACTGCGACAAATCTCTCGATCTGAGTGGTTAAGAGAGATAGGTGTTCGGGCACCCTTATGGGGCGGGCCAGCCTCTGCAGCAGGTCCCTCATAGCAGCTGTCGACACACGAAACACGAAGCGCTCCACTTCGTCAACAGATGGAATTGCTTCTATATTCACATATTGAATTTTGTCTTCTCCCGATGATGTGACATTATGATTGTCCGTCTGGTAGATTAATAATGTAATTTAAAAGTATTCTATACATTTAAATGCCAAAATTGTTCTAATAAAGCTTAGTGTTTAACGTAGTTACATTCTACACATTTATAGATATTTAAATTTGAATCAGATGATTTCCACATTAAAATCTGTCTGAACTTAAGGCAGGGAAAAGTATGAATTTTGGACATTTAGTAAAGAATCCAGTTAATAAGCATTTTGTAATCATTAATCACTTGGATGGGAATGGTATCCAATATATAACAATATCGAGTAAAACATACATTAATGCTAGCACAGCTGAACATATTCCTACCCCGTACTGTGGGTCAGTAGTTTTTACGCTTGGCAGGCAGGTCGGTAAGTCAATTAGGGTTTGATGATGTTTTAAGAGGGACTCTTCTGTGAATACGAACACCAGTTTTTTTTTTATGCAATTACAATGGCAAACAAGCTGACTGCCCACCTGATGGAAAGTGGTAACCTATACAGGTCGCCTATAGACGTGAGCAGTATCATGGACATAACAGAGTATACTGATTCGCCCATGATACTCCCCATGCGTTGCCATTCCTGAGGACTCAATGCCCTGTAAATTTACTGCCATATTCCAACGTCCATACCAAAACACAGCCATGAAAACATGACTGCTTCACAGTAGAAACAAGAATATGACAGAGATACCAAAGCAAACGACTTTTGTATAAAATCTCTCACTGGTAAACAGGCAATGAATACTTACAGCAGTAACCATGAGTGTGCAGTCGTCCTGCTTCACAATATTCAACTTGTATTGTGACACTTTTATGAGCCAGGTTTCAGTGGCTACAAATTTACTTGTAGCTGTTAATGGTACGGACACTTTATCAACACTGAAAAATTAAAATATTATTTAATAAATATATTATAAGGAGATTAGATATTTTAAATT